TCTGACTCTTGGGATGTGGGAGAGTCACACGGATGAACTGGATCGGGCCCCATCGCTAAACTGGAGTCACTGTCCCCATGAGCCACTTCGCTTCGCGGTTACCTGCCCCCTTCCTCTCCGCGTTGCCCCGGAGCGCTCTAGGGCAGATCTGAGCCCGTCTCGCCGGCACTCCCGCGACACGACCCCTCCGCCCCCCGGGGGATTTCACGCTGAAAATGAAATCGGAACCGAAGTTAGTTTCCACGTAGTTTAATACCGATTTGGAACGGAACAGCGGAGGGAGGAAAAACCCACCTCGGGGCTCCAGCAGAACCGTTCACACTCCCTGGGCCGCGGCCCCCTCGCTCTGCCCGTGTTAGGCGAGGAAGGACCCTCCGGCAGCGCACTCGGGGGGTTCCCAGCTCCGGCTGCGGTTTGGCTTTACCCGTGGCCAGGACACACGGGCTCTGCCCGGAGCAGGAGCCGCCCCCGACGCCGGTTCAGGCTCCAGCCCGTGTGAACGGTCACCCAGCGAGGGGCCCCGCCCGGCAGCGGCTCGGAAAGCGCCCCGCGAGCTCCGCAGACGGACATCCCGGGGCCCGCTTCAGAGCAGGGCGAGGAGAAGGGGGGGGGGTCCCGTTACCCTCAGCGCGGGGCGCCGGGCGCGGGGCTCCGGGCTCCCCTCCCCTAGGTGCCCATCCCCGCCTCCAGCTCCTTGGCGGGGCTCCGCTCCCTCCCCGCCTGGCCGACCAGGCTCCCCGACTGGAGCAGCAGGTTGCAGCCCAGGAAGAAGACGCCGAAGAGGACGGTGAGGCAGAGGACGCAGAGCACCGCGATCTGCGCCAGGTAGCGGCTCCTCTCCGCGCCCAGGAGCGCGTCCAGCGTCGGGGCGGCGGCCCGCGGGGGGCGGCTGGGGCTCGGGGCGCTGCTGGTCATTGCTGGGCTCCCGGGCGGGGCTCTGGCAAAGCGCCCCCCGCTGCCGGCTCAGCCAGTCCTCGCGGACCCGGTCCCGGACCCGGTGCAGATCCCCCAGGAGCTCGCGGCGCCGTCAGCCGCAGAAGTGCCGGTGGAGCGGGATTGTGCGGGGCAGTGACGGGCCCGGGCGGGGCGGGGCGGGCTTCAGTGATGTCAGGACACGAGTCTTCCTCCAGCCCCATGGGCAGAACAACTCCTCCCTGCAGCGGGAACCCGACTCCCTGCACCCCCAGATCCCTGGGGAACCCCTCCCCCCGGGGCACAGCCCCCCTATGCTCCTCCAGGGAACCCGACACCCTGCACCCCCAGATCCCTGGGGAACCCCTCCCCCCGGGGCACAGCCCCCCAATGCTCCTCCAGGGAACCCGACTCCCTGCACCCCCAGATCCCCGGGGAACCCCTCCCCCCGGGGAACAGCCCCCCCATGCTCCTCCAGGGAACCCGACTCCCTGCACCCCCAGATCCCCGGGGAACCCCTCCCCCCGGGGAACCGCCCCCCCAATGCTCCTCCAGGGAACCAGACACCCTGCACCCCCAGATCCCTGGGGACCCCCTCCCCTGGAGAAACAGCCCCCCCATGCTCCTCCAGGGAACCAGACACCCTGCACCC